TCTATTTAAAAAAAAAATGCTTCTTGAAATCAATTTTAGCACAGAAAATATTGTTGCGAGGAGGCAGATGGAGTTTGAGAATAAAAGAGTTGAGGGAGAAAGGTTCTGATTTGCAATAGGGTGTCAAGGAAAGTAAATCAGGAACCAATTTTAAAGTATAAGCGCATACCTTCTACCATGATGGCAACTTGGACTATTATCTCAAAGTGGATATGGGGACACTACGGCTTGAGGACCAGCCTTTGGGACAATTGTTGGAATTGTGGTCAGAGTAACCACAACTAGTTAAAGCTACTAGTTATATTGAACCCCTTGATTTATAGTCCTATTGAGGTTGAGAAGGATGCTATGATGAAGAGGGCTAATGAGTTCATCCAAACACATTCATGCAAAGACTCTATCGCAAACAAAGTTTTGATTTTACAGGCAATTTTTAAGTACGAGGGATTTCAATAGCAACAGGTGAATCTCTAAAATTTGATTCAAAGAGGATTTGAGAGAGAATTTTCCTTTTGCAAGGCTAAAATTGATAGGCCATTGCTTGATGATTAATGACTTGCCAGAGAAAAATCAAAGATCGCCCATCTAAACAGAATCATAATTCTCCCTACAAGAGGGCTTGAAGGCGAAGAAACCTTCATTTAAGGTAAGAATATTCAGGTTACCTTGAAGATTACACATCTTTTTTACTCCCAAGGAAGGGCACCATTGCTTTCTGATCGCATATCCCAGAAGTGCCATGTCCCAAGCTTTGGCATCATCCATAACACCAAGAGAGGGGAAAACCACATCATTACCATGGTTCTATACAATGTTGACATGGAAGTTAGAGGAAGTTGTTGAGCATTGAGAAGACCGGTTCAAATCTTTGAGATAGAAAGGTTGTGAGCCGCTTGGGGGGGGGGGGTTCAATGCCCCAAAATTCTCTTGTGAATTTTTCAATTTCATAAATATTAGTTTTATTTATATATTGATCTCTTTATTTTGCTGGGGAAAATATTGAATCATGGATTAATTCAGGTGAAACCTACTCTAAATTGTGTTAGTTACTTTTTTTTTTCTGCATCATTGCAGGCAAATGTCAATCTGTTTGCTAATCAGAGTGCTTCTCCTGCGACATTTCATTCAGACGCGGACTTGTTTGCAGCAGCAAATTCAGGGTTGTTTACAGAGACGAAGTCTTCCAATCCAACAAATATCAGTTCTTTTGATCCATTTGCAGCATCAGATTCTATATTTTCCTCTTCCTCTGAATCAAATGTTCCCAGTACGAACCCTACAAGTAGCTGCGCCATTGATCCCTTTGCTGCAATTCAAGTGAGCAATGTTACTGGATCTGATGAACTCTTTGGTTCTTTCACTTCTAATACCGCACCAGCTTCAAGAGACCCTTCAAAGGATTCATCAAACACCAGCCAGTCGGCATCCAAAAAGGAACCTTTTCAAGTCAAGTCTGGGATTTGGGCTGATTCTTTGAGCCGTGGATTGATTGATCTGAATATAACAGCCCGTGAGTTACTCCTGATCTTACTTTTTGGTTAATTCACCCTTCCAATATTCCTTTGATGGTCACTAGATTATTATGGCACACTTGCACGCACATTCACACTTAAAAATGTCAGTCTGTTTCTCTCCATCAAGTTGAAAGAATTATCTTCAATGTGCCTCTAAGTCTTCAACGCAACTTTGTCTCATCCCATGAAGCTTAGTTCTAATAACAATTTTCCAATCATCATCAAAATACCCATGTATTTTTCCTACTCATCTTTTTCCCAAATTCAGCAAGAAGTAACAGGATTAACCTGCTATAAACTTTTTTGTCTGCTATATAAGCCGTTTGAATGATCTATGATGTGTATTTTACAGGTATAATATGCAAATTTACTATGAACTGTTGTAGCTTGTACATTTTATTAGGATTATACCACATAATTTTTATTTAAAACCTAAATTTTGATATTTATCTATATAACACTCAACTCTTTATCACAATAAAAATATTACCAATATTATCTTTTTTTTCAAGTGAAATACATCTTTTTATTGAGACACCAAATTATTATATAAATATCAAAATTTATGTTTTAGGTATGTAAATGTATAAGATTTATTTGGTATATATGTAAATCCTCCTACTGCATTTTGTTGATTTCCTTAATATCAAACTATTTGTGGAATCAGCAAGCTTTTACAACGTTTAACACTTTAGGTAATGTATTTGTGTCAGCTAAGAAGACAAATCTAGCAGATATTGGTATTGTTGGTGGTCTTACTGATGAATCCAATGAGAAGGAAAGGGCTCTACCTCCGCCATCATACATGGGGAGAGCGATGGGTGCAGGATCAGGCCTTGGCAGGACAACAGGCTTATTTTCTTCAACAACGACGACAGGAGAAAATTGGGACTTCTCTACCTTCCAGTCATAGAATTGAAAGTTCTATTGATAATTTCATTATTTCTCACCGTTTATTGGACAATAAGCTTGTTTGCTGTATTCTTGATCGGAAGATATTGTGCTTAGATTGCTCTTTTTGGGTATTTTTTTTCAAGGTATCAGTACATTTTTTCTGGGATTATTGTAAAAGTTTGTGTGGGATTGCATTGTTTTATATTTGAAGTGTTAACGGCACTGGCAACAATAAACAGTGGGATATCATCCCAGGTAATATGTTAACGGATTTAGCATTTTTTGATGCAGATGTAATGTGTAATATTGTTTCAGACACGCAACAAATATTTATTAGTTGAGTCTTGCAAAGCACGTGTCATATTATCCTCATGATTTGTCTGTAGACCGTAGGGTTCACAATTGCAAATAAAATTCTGGAGATTTTGAAACGAGTTTTTTTAATGTTTTTTAAAATAATTTTTTAGTATAAAAATTTGAATCATAATTTTGTATTAAAAAGTTGGGTTAGAAAGTAATAATAATGTTGTCCCAAACAAAACTTTTATACAATTTTCTCATTATTTTTTAAAACATTTTTTTAGTTAAAAAATTTTTAATTAAAAATTTAATTTAGAAAGCAATCCTAAAGTTTTGTTCGAAACATTTTTTATACTGTTTTATGAAGTTGTTAAAAAGAAAGTAATTTTTTAAAGCTATTATAAAAAGGTGTAAAATAATAATGGCTAAATAAAATTTTTGGTAATGATCTGAAAAAGCTTAATAGGAAAGTTATCTCAAATGAAATCTAAATAAACACATATTAATCATTAGCATTGATAATTTTAAAATTATTAAAATTTGTTATTAATCGTGTCATATTTTAGAGATTTAATGTTAAAAAATGTTTTATTTTCATTCAGATTATTTTTGCGAAAGAAATTTGATAATTTATTAAACGAATTGAAATATGATAATTTAACATTATAAATATTTATATTAAATTAAAAAGTAATTGACTTAGGTCGTCATTATAAATATTTATATTAAATTTAACATTATAATATTTATAATAAATTTAAATGTTGAAATGTTTAATAAGGGATGGAGATGGACTTCTTTCAATGGCATCCATTCAAGAAAAAAAAAATGATTAGCACTTTCCTGATAAGATAATTGCAATTTTAAAATGCAGAGAGTTTTAAATGTTTGGAATAAAATGTGTTGGGGATAATCCATTCCATGTAGTGGGATGTTTTGATGAAGTAAAACTTCAAAGGGCTTCATCCTCAACATTTTAGCATGCCTAATGAATTATTAAGCTATTATAAAAATTGATGAAGCATGGTCCTAACATGAAGCCTATATTGTAAGACAATCAACATTATATATTTTTTTAAGGGACATTAGGGTAAGATCAAGTGCACAATAATAATAATGATGTGTAAAATTTCCTAACTAATATGATCAAATTAAAGAGACCACCAAAGCATGTAATCCTTTTCTAAGAGTAAATATTGTTGAAGGATTAGCATCACTTGCTCTACAATTTTTAGTCATTAGGCTTTAACTCATATATAAATTGATGGAAATTGAATTATGTGCTTTAGGGGAAGGGTTGAGGTAAAATAAATTTATCTTAAATCAGAAAACTTTGGATAGTTTATTAGAACTACTAAGATAGTTGTGGGACTTTGGGATGGTTGAAATTCTATGTGGCTAAATCTAGCAAGGGTTAGTAAGATTTGATTAGTTTTGTGTGGAACTTAAGAGAGGTTATGAAAGGAGATATGATTGGTGTATGCATTTTATGGATAGCTTTAGAAGTTAGAAAAATTATGCAAAAGTTATTAGGGTTTGTGATGTGAAAGTCTTTGCATGTGGAGTTAAAGAAAGGTAAGCTAGTTCGATTGAAATAGATTAAGGCTAATTGGTTTAACTCAATTAGCACAAAGAAAGAAAAGTGGTAAAACTTAAAGAAAATTTTCAAAACACTTAGAGAGTAATGTGAGGGATAAATTGAGTAAAAGATAGATAAAAAAAATTAAAGAAATATCAAGAACATATATCTCCTCATCATCAAAGGAGTCTTGATCTTGGTTATTTAATCAATGATTAAGGAGTTGCCAGTAAGCAATCTGCAAAGAAAAAGAAACATGTCTCCTAATATGTATTTTTTTATTTTAGAATATGATGCTTACATCTAGTTGTGAAACTAATGCACTCGAGACATCTCTCACCTCTTTGACTATCTTAAGCTTCATGCCAATGAACAAAATGCCTTCGGTGTGACCTATTCATACAAGAATTTAAGACTTGATTTATAGTTAAATTCATATATTAGTTTACTACTAAGAATATTTTAAATAATTTTAAGATTAATTTCAGCTTTTTACCGATTAGGAGAGAAAATTTTCAATTTGATTCCTTGCATTAAATAAAGATAGAATGGACTGATAAAAGTTAAACTAATATGTGGATTTTAAGATAAATTATAAAACCTCATACACTTTGAAAGGAAAAAATAATTGGGATGCACCAAGGTCTTGATGAGTATGAGGGTGGTCATAGAGAAGTTGTGAGATCATAATTATGATTTATTTGATTGAAATTCCAACACATTTTTTATTTAATTTGAATAGATTTTATTAAGTTTGGGTTTCTTTAATTAAATTTTAGCCTAAATTTCTTAGTTTAACTTCAATTCATTTTCCTTTTAAATCTTCATCTGCTTCATTTTCTTTGTAGAACCTCTCTTATGGGGTTTATCCAATTGGTCCATGTCTTAGAGATTGCTCGTGAAGCAGGGAAAGAGGAAGGAGAAGATAGAGGACATGGAGAGGCTGGGAAGAATACAGGGTTCATAACACAAGTAAGCAAAGATATTGTGTAGTTTCTCAAAAATCTTTCTCTTTTTTTTTTTTTTCCTTAGGAATTTAATCTATATTGATAAAGTATATTTAGAAATGATGTCACACTCTGCTAAATATTTTACAGAAGGGTCTAGATGTTGTTCACTTGATCCCTCATATTAACTATAATATTCACCACCAAAGCAAGATTTAATATGTTTAATCTTCTTACCAAGTTAATTTTTAATTACAATTTTAAAGATCTTAAATACATCTAGGGTTTTTAATTTTTTATATAATAAACATAAGTATCCATAACGAGAATAATTATTAATGGAAATAATTAAATACTATTGAACAATTTAAGAAGTTGTAGGGAATAGGCCATAAATATCAGTATGTTTTAATTTCAATACATTTAAACTTCTTTTGGCACCTATTTTCTTAATATTTATTTATTTTTCTTAATACATTCAATATAAATTTTAAAATTAATATAATTAAGGGAATCAAGAATTCCATCGAACACAAGCCTTTTATTTCTTTATTTAGAAATATATCCTAAACACTTGTTCTATAACATAAGAAAATTCTCATCAATTAATTTTTTTCTTCATACCATAATTATTTATATGTAGATTTTCATTTATATGTGAGGAACATATATCTAATTTATATAGAATATCAATCAAAGAACATGTAAAAATAAAAATTGAATGTTGAAAGAGAGTAAATTTTCATTTCCAAATAAAAAGTGTAACTATATTTGTCTAAATAAGAAATAAAAATTAGAATATGTCTAAATGATGGTACATAAAAAGCCTCACACAAAGATAAAGTACAACCAAATTTTAAGTATAATTTATATAAGCCTACAACTTTAAGAGGATCTTTCTTACCATACCCCATATAGATGAATCTGTTAGTATCAGTTGGCACTCAACTCCTTAAATAACCCTACATAGTCACACTTATGCGAGTAATTGCTCCTATATCTATCCACTAAGTATGATTTATTACTTAGGCCAAATTAACTAACAAATAAGATTCAAATGTTTACCTTTTTTATGAGCCAGTTAGCATATATTGGACAATCCCTTTTTATATGACCAATCTTCTATTACACTTTAGATTAAGAAGTCCATTTATCTCCAGCCCCTTTAGCTTTATAATTCATTTTTCTTTTGATAGTAATATCATGAGAAGAAGAAGCTAAGTGAGCACTTTTAATCTTTTCTCATTTTATTCTTTCTTCCTCTTACACACACTAAGCAATGAGCTCATTAAGAGTTTATTTTTCTTTTTAATAATATAACTTATCTTAAAGGGATTGAATTATACAGGAAGAGAGATTAAGATGTTATATATAAGAATGTCATTAAAAAAATTTTAACTTTAATGCTATTAGTCTTATAATAAGATTAAATATTTCCATAATGTACTTCTTTATATTCCATTTGCCTTTATATCATATTGAAAAGAGGTTACTTAGAATAGCACTCATTTTTACCTTTTTAGAATTAGAAAATGGTCAGCTATTTAGCTTTTGAACTTCTTAACATTTCCCTCCTCAGGAATTGCACCCCTGATTATATCTAGAATAGAGTGCTTCATGATCATAAGACTCATGCGATTTAAATGCTCACACTCTTCAAAATTTAATCTTTATTCAAAAGCACTTTTTCCAGTAAGGGCAGGAGGATGTTAAGTCTGGATCGTATAGTCTAGATCTATACACCCAAGAATAATAGTAATATGCTCTTTTTATTTCTTAAAATTAGAGTCGTTAAGTACTGAAATGTTATTTAAATTTATAGATATTGAAGAACATTAATTGAAAAAGAATAAAAATAAGCTCATAATTTAAAATAATGTTACATCTTTGTATATAAATGACATTAAAAATATTAACTATATATAATAAATGTAAGGTGGGCCCTTTATGAGATACCTAACACAATATTACAATTTAGACTTTGGACAAAAACTATAATTTCTAAATGGAGATCTTAAATTTGTTGTTAATAAATATTGATAATAAATTCTATTGATAATAAGCCTTTTCTTATACTAACTTATTATATGCATGAATAACTCAAAAAGTATCACATGTTTATTAATATATCTCTATAAACTAGCCAAAAATAATCTTCCTTTGGGTAAATTATTTTTCAAGTAGACTTGAATTAATCTTTAGCATTATTTAATTAATTTTAAAATTAAATAGATTGATCTAATAGAGATCTCTTTGGTGGCATATTTATAGAAGCTCCTTTAGGTTGTGGAATAGACATTTATGACACATTTATAAATAAAGAATTTGAAAGGCTTATGTTAG